AGAATACTATGATGAGAAACTTCATGCGCGTCGTTTGAATCTTCGGATTATGATACGATACACATATTCCATTCTTTAACTGAGTATTTTCGCTGCATTTGCGACCCGAGCGTGTTGATGATACATTTTCCCTTAAACATTCGCAGTGTTCTGCTGACAGCAACGGGTTGCCACCCGTCTCGCTGAGAGAGGCTCTCATTTCCTTGGATGTCTGAACGCTCAACAACGTCGTCAAACTAGTCGAGTTATTCGCACCAGATCGTCAAATCTATCAACATATCTATAACAAGTCGTTCAATCTTACCTCAAAACTACACTTTTCCTCATCGTCATCATCGCAGCTGGTAGTGATTGGCAACGAGACAGGTTCCATTGACGCGATCGAGCTCAAAAGCGCTCGAACGAGGTTGACCCCTCCAGATAAAACTTGTTGGCGAAAAATGGCAAGTCCGTTCGTCTGCGGCGTCCTGGAGTGGCTCAAAGCGTCGTGGCAGAGAACGTGCAACCCTTTGGTCGCAACCTTCTCGATCTTGCAGGCGCCAATTTCTCGACGTGGTACTGCAGTAGCTGCGGAAGGTTGCTGGGATTTTTCGCGCCTTCAAGCGCATCGTCCGCAGAGTCATCTGGCGCCAAGTAGCCACCGCACGGAACACACGACCTGCGACGCCTGCTGGGTTCTCGCCAATCGGCGTCGGCCGTCGTGCGTGACCTTTACCTGCCGACTGGCTCACACTCGCACTTTGCCGTTGCGAAGAAGGACAAGTATGTTTGCGCACCGCGTGCGCCTGCCAGGGCGCCTCTCGATGATCGCGGCGGCACCGCGTCCCCGCAGCGCGTCGCTCGAGGCAGCCCCACGCGAAATACCAGCACTGCGTCCGACGAGCTCCACCGAGGGTTTCTCGCGGCTGCCGTCGCTGGACGAGGACGAAGACTTGCAGATCCAGTACCTCGACGACAACGACGACGACGACGAGATTCCCTACGTCGACCGGTTGTCGGTACGCTTCTTGGCCGCGACTGCAAGCAGCGAAACTATTGCATTAGGCGTCGACGACAGTGCTGTCCTGGGACGACATGGCGGACGCGACCGACGTTGAGATTGTACGCGCCCGGGACACGTACTCGCCACTCTCTCGGCTCTCGGATATTTATAAGCTGCAGCACCTCTTGCTCTTGCAGAACGCGCAGGCACGCAGCCAGCGCAGCTACTCGTGCAACGACCTCCACGACACGGTAGATACCGTAGAGGTGCAGTGGTCATTGACATGTCCTGGTAGATTCGCAAGGTCGCGACCGAGTTTGTCGCCGCGTGGCGCCAGCGCGCGCGCAGTTCGGCGGTCGCGTCGTTTGAGTTTCAGCTCCTCGAGTGGGCCCAAGTGATCTTTAGCTACGAAGGGCAAATCTACGACGACCGGTGTCTGCGCACGATGGACCAGCGCGGCATGGAGAAGGAGTTACTGCATGTGCGCAAGAAGGTCGAGGCGATTCACGCCAAGCTAATGCTCGTCCACGTCTCGGACCGTGCGACCAAGCACCAAGCGACGACGTCGTCGACGCACCTCCTCGACCGCATCCAGAAAATTTTGCGCGACGTTGCCGGCACGCACCACTTTCACCGGTCCGGCAAAGTCGATTACATGCAGTTGTAATATCGATCAATACCACCAGTGAATTATACCGACTAGCGCGAGGGAGGTGGCCCGCTCGAGATGCTGCCAGGGCCAACGCGCGGTGGTAGACGCTGGAATCGGTTCATTTGAGGTCACAGACACATGCATAGAAGGTGATACCTCGAGCTTTCTGTTGGATTTGTCGAGCACGTGCTGCTTGCGGTACTCGTGAGCGTGTTTGATACGCGCCGCTCGACGCAAGTGCTCGTCCAGATCCAAGTTGTGCAGCTACAAGGCATTAAGAGCGACCATGGAAGATGATTGAAACGTACTTCTTTGACGAGCCGAGCTTCTTCCTTCATGTTGGGTTTTAGCTGCACCGGCGTCTACACTCCACGTTAGTTTTACCGAATGGTCCTTGTTGGGTGCCAACATGATTGCGAAAGTTGTCGAGGATCTACTCGCGCTGTCAAGCGGCTGTATCAATCATTGATGGTAGCAGGCAGTACCATTTTTCGCCGGGTCTTTTGCTCGGCGACTGCATCGTAGCTCTTGAGCTTAACTTCTTTTTCAAACTCCTTTTGCTTGAATGCGAGCTCGGCCGCCTGCTCATGGTTCGCGCAGCCGTCTGTATCAAAGCACATCTTACCTCTCGCGCCGTGACGCGGCGATCCGATGCCTTGTGGATGCTGGCTTGCGTCTCTTTCCATCGCTCGGCATTCTCGAGGAGCTTGGCGTGCTTCATTATGTCCATGCGCTGAAGCTCTTCCCGGTTTTTGGCGTGGTCGTATACGCGCGGTGGCTGCACCTCGTCCTACGACGTTTTTGTGACGTTGGACGACAACGGCGATAAATAGCGAACCACCGGTCGCGTCCGGGGCTTCTTGCGCTTGGCCTGCACGCCACGTTGAGTATATCTATCGAGACGGGAAAGAGCTGTACCTGGACCACGGGTGGTAATGGGTCGACTTGACCGTGTTGAAGCTTGGCGGCAATGAGCTGCTGCGTTTGCAAGATGATGGCGATGCACAGTTGACACTCGTGGCGGTAGGCATCATAGCGAGCCTTGAGCACCAAGTCGGGCACAGCCTCGGCACTAGACATTAGATTAGAAAAGGGAAAGATTAGCGAGCGATACCTGTCGGGCTGGCGCTTGAAGGATTGGAGCGACCGGTGTGGAATCGCGCTGCTGTCAATGCCGAGGTAGTGGCACGATTGGACGACCAGCGGCGTCTTGAAAAACGCTGCGTACTCCTTGGGATGATCCAAGTAGTACTCGGCAGCGTTCAAGTAGTGCTCTTTGGGGTCCATGCTTGTGAGGAGGGACGTGATTTGATCGTCGATCTCTCGGTCCGAAAGCTGCTCGAGGGCGTTGGGCTGGACGCGCTCGTCGACTTCGCGGTGCCAATCGTCGAGCGTACATAAATCGGGCTGCAAGAAAAGGGTATCCTCGAGCTCCACGCCGTGCTGTGCAAACTGAAGCACAATGCCCGAGTCAAAGATAATAGACTCGACGGCCGATTTGTCAAACGTCACGGGGACCTCGGCGAGCGCGGGGTCGTCCATACCCACATCGTAGTCGTCGTCACCGTTGGCCACACTGGGTAAAGCAAACAACGGTGCAGCAGACTTGACCAGCGACGACGATAGAGCAAGCGGGTGCATTTCAAATGTTACGGCGGCAGTCCCGGCACGACTAAGTTTAGAAGGCCATCACCGAAGAGGATCAATTGTTGAAACGTCTCTTGCTGGAGCGCGTGAGCATGCCCCCGGCATTGCTTGGCGGAGGTGCGAACGACGAGTTGCCGCGAAAGGACGAGCTTGGGCGTGCCATCGCGTCTAGCGCCATATCGTATAAGACGAAAAGGAGACCGAGACAACGCCCTACTGGAAGCGTAGCGAGATGAGGTCGACTCGTTTTGCATGGCAAATGCTGGATGCTGCGTGGTTGCGGGCTGATCGAACGTGTGCTGGCGAAGCGACGACGACTGCATTGACGAGATGCTCTTGGCAAACTTGGGCGACGGCGCAACGTTTAGGGGCATTCGGCCCGAAGGTTGTGCCGTCATGACACGCTGTCCGTTGCCTTCTTGTTGCGCCTTCATACCCTTGATCTAAAGCGACATTCGTCATCAACCTACCATCAACTCGTTTGTAGACAGTACCACTTTCTCGTAGTTGCGGCACACGCGCGCCTTGTCCTTGTACGACTAGTTGGAAGAAAAAGGCTTAGGGCTGGGCACATAAGACGCATTGTGCCTCGCGCGTTTCTTCGATGGTGTTGTTGAGCACGACCATCTTGTTCTTGAGCTCGCCGATCTCTTCCTCGAGTTTCTCCGTGTAGCTCTTCATCTGCAAGTAGCGCTGTCCGTGCTGTTGCTGGTACTCCTTGTGCTCGTCGACTAGGATCACAGTCAACTCCTGGCGCGTGCTACACTTGATGCCAGACTCAATTCGTTGTGGATGCGTTCCTTGCCCGTCGTTAGAGCCTCACCATGAGAGACTTTGGTACACGTACTTGTCTACAATTCATAGCAATATAGCCGCCGTGGAAGAAGAAATGCTGCATAGCAACCGTACCGGTAGTTTTCTTGGGCTTGCTGGAACTAATGTCGCGAGCATGAACATTGCCCACACACTTTGACGGAATACCATGAGGAAGCGCATCGCTTCTTGGATTTGCGCTATACAACAGCATCGTTCGTTCAATCCACGGTCGGGTCGGGAAAGAGCGCGCACCCATGCAGGATACGGGGTCGGCAAGCATCTCTTCCCAGATGATCTTGCAGCATTTCATGCATCAAGTCAATGAACGCGGGATCAATGCACTCGCAACACCTCGAGACGCTACAAAGCACCATACATCGTTGCAACCATGATGCATTCGTGGAGATCGTACGCGCGGTCCCGTCGCGCTCTTCACGGTGCTGTGCGTGTCATCATCGTCCATCAAGCACCATGGGGAACATTGGCGTCGTACATTTCGCACACGCTTCCCTGTCTGTACAGTTCATTCGTCATCATGCTGTAGTTCGAGGAGGAAGAGGTCGAGGTACCTCTGGCTGAGGTCTACGGGCCATCGTTGCATGAGGACGAGGTCGGCCATGGGATGCAGGGTGTACCTTCCCCACAAGCGGGGCAGATGAGGTTGCCATCGCGGAAATGCTTCATCGCATCGCGCTCCTACGTTGTGCTTCTTGGGCGCATGTTCCTGCCGATGGTCGTCCACGTACGCAGAAGATGTGGCTGCAGCAGGTCCGGTAGCATGCTTGGGGTCCATTCGCTCCGCAGAGGACCTCCCAGCATGCATTGCAGCGCAGCTTGAACACATGCATGTCCCTCGGCGCTTCCGCGGGCGCATGTCCATCGACGTCATGCCGGGTCTTCTCCATGCTTCCTCGGCGCGTCGGCTACGTCCTCCGTCGGTCGACCGCGCTGATTCTCGAATGGCGCGATCTTGTTCCGGATAACATACAACGGCATTTGGTTGGCTTAAAAATACTATTTTTATCCAATCCGTGATAAGAACAAAAACACCCAACTTTGTGGTATGCAATGCCGCAGTGACGGCGCTTGTTATCGCCAAGCGGACGTGGATAGCGCGTCTCTTGCCCCTCGTACCAATAAGCAGCTGAGGGAGTATCGAGCCATTGTCTGCGTACCGTACGTATCCCATGCCGTCAGCTCAAACCGTCGCATCACTGGCGCATGATATACGTACACCGGTGTACACATATATAGCATATTTGTATGCTTGAATATAAGCGACCCACCACAGTACTCGACAGCAACGGGGCACGCCGGGTTGCCTATCACCCAAAGAAAGGCCGACGAGGTGCCCAGCTGCCAGTTTGCCATTGGATACTGAGATCAACACCGCCGTCATGATGCGAAGTCTGTGTCTGGTTGTCGCCGCTCTTGCCGCCAGCGTGGCCGCCACGCAGCCTCCGCCGGTCCTCCCCAACGAGCTCTCGACTGTCATTAGCTCCTTCAAGCCGATCATTTCGAGCATGGCCGACACGGCGCTGCCTGCGACGCTCGGCAACTGCGTGAATGGCAACCCGCCAGCGCCATGCCAAGAGATTGGCAACCTCTTCGCCGTCAAGACGAGCTACTACAACGTGACGGCGCGCTGGGTCTCGGGCCTCAACACGATCCAAGTCAACCAGCTCAATCTGAGCGTCGGTGAGAACGGCTCGATGCATCTCGACGCGTCAGTCTCGTTCGCAAAGCTGCCCGTGAGCCTCCTCGTCGACGGCTGCATTCCCGAGTTTGGCTGCAAGACGTTCATTGACAACTCCAACACGTGCTGCGGCGGCCCGATCACGGTCAAGCTCGGCATTGACGCCAACTGCTCCGAGACGTACCCGTACATCCAAAACATGTCGGTCTCGTCGGCGTCGATCTTGCCATCGCTCAACATTATGATGACGCTGCTCGGCCGCCAGTTCAAGATCTTTGATGCGACGCGGCTGGCGCAAAACGGCATCATCAACGGCGTCACGCAGGTGCTCCAGGATCCCGCGACGTCTGGCCCGATCAACAAGCAGATCAAAAACTTGTACGGCGGCCAGATCTTTTGCACCAAAGCGTCGCAAGAAGCGTACTTGCTTGCGCTGGAAGAAGCCAAGACCAAGGCGTCGACCGGCGCCAAGCCCAGCGCTGCGTCGGCACCGAGCATGGCGTTTGGCGCCGTGACGCTCGCTATGGCCGCCATGGCAGCCTCCGTATAATTGTTCGGGTCGCCCTCGGCAAAAGACCGTAATGAAAACTATGTGTGGTGCTTTGCTTGCTCGCATGGTTCGCTTCGATGTATTTCGGTGGTCGACGCATGGCCTTCGCATGGACCAACCGGCGGCGCCGTCGGCGCGTGGACTGGATGCTAGTGCTAACGACAGCACGGTACACGCGTCGTGGGCAAAGCGCCATTGTGACGTTGCGCAATATGAGAGCTGGGCCATGGCCGAATCCTCCCGAAATCGATCGACGCACTTTTATATGAAATGCCAGAGGTTTTCATGGGTCAGTTTGCACTTTCCGATGAGCTGCGCCCACGAGCACCACGACCACTCGCATGACCATGATCATGACCACGAAGTCGAAGACGCAGAGGGTGAATCGCTCTTCCAATACATTGACACGAGCAAGGTGCGGTGCTTGAACGCGCTCGACGAGCGCCAGAAGACGCACCCGTTCAAGAGCGCGGCCGACAAGCGCTCGCGCGCTACGTACCTCGACTCGAACGAGGACGATCCGGAGCTCATTCTGTACATTCCGTACGTCCACGTCGTTTATATTGAGAGCATCCACGGAGGCGGCGTAGGTTCACCGAGGCCGTAAGCGTCAAGTCGATCTGCATTGCGGGCGGCGCGGACGGGCTCCACCCCACGTCCGTCAAGCTGTACGACGTCTCTTCCAACTCGTTTGCGCATTTTGACGTATCTTTTTAGCTTTGTGAACCGCGAAGACATTGACTTTACCAATGCGACCGAGCTTCCCGCAACGCAAAAGCTCGAGCTTGTCGAAGACTACGACGCTAACATCGACTATCCGCTGAGGTACAACAAGCTCATCGAACGCTGGTCATCGCCCATTCGTCATGACTAGCTTGCGCAAGTTTCAAGGGATCAGCAGCTTGAGCCTCTTCTTTGAAAACAGCGTCGACGGCGACCAAACGCGCGTGTACTACATTGGCCTCAAGGGCGAGTCCAAAAAGGTAGAATGCGACTTTGCACTTTGATTCCGAGACGAGTCGCCCTCCTAGTGGAAGCACGGCGTCGTCGAGTGCGTGTACGAGAGTCGTCCGCAGCTCAGCGACCACAAGGTACCGGACGCCACGGGGTCGCTCGCGTTTCAGAAATGAAATATATACGTTGAGTTTCATTTTGAAACTCGTCTTTTCTTCTTCTATATAGGGGCAGTGCAAAATTACTTGACTTTGGCCGCGTTGGCTTCGGGCATGCGCTCGATCGCATACTTGCGGTTGGCGATGTACATGATCGGGACACCGGGCACCTTGCGGATGCGGCGCTTGAGTTCGCGATCGCACGTCGCGACAATGTAACAGCGCGACTACAGGTACCAAAATGAGGCGACACTCAAGCGAGACGGATGCGTCTACCTGCTGGATGCGCTGCATAAGGCAGTCATCGGCGTAGTTGCCCTTGTGCGTGCACGGAAGGCGCTCAAAGCGCGGGTCTTTGGCCAACCTAATTCGGTACATGAGCTGCCGACAACACATGAATGGCCGGTTGTTCGTACCGCAGGGCGACGCGGTACTTGTGACCGAGCTTCTCGAGTTCGGCCATGACGCAGTCCGTAATGCAAGGAATGCACTTGGCGAGGAGGCAGTCCATCATCGACGAGACGAGCTCGAGCTTGTTCTTGATGGAAAAGTTGATAAAGTTGGTATCAACGAGGATGTTGTACGGCGGGCCAAGGTCGGCGTTGTACTTGAAGAACATGTTGGACGGGATCTGGTCACTATGGAGCTTGGCCATGAGCGGCTATCGGCAGCGGCGATCGACGTACATTTGACGCGGCGCATCGCGCTCCTTGGCCTTGAGCGCCTTCTTCTCGACGTCCTTCTGGACCGACTTACTACGCAGCATGAGCATGGACATGGCAGGTAGAGGAGCACCTACAGGCGCGTGTCCTTGGGGCTGATCATGCGCTTGACAGCGGCGAACTTGCGCGTCTTCTTGTCCTTGCCCATGCTGCTGTGTTTTTGAAGGTGGAGACCAACAGTAATATCCTGAGCGCCTCCACCAACCAGTGCGCAGGATTTTCCCGATGTATTTTAATAAATAAAACTGGAGATTTGTATGTAAAGGAATTAAATGAATCGGCAGCGCGTTGGGCCGACCGGAGTTAAACGCGTTTAAATGCCAGCGCAGGCGTTGCGGAGGAGCCATGGTGACTAGCCAAGAGCGAAAAATGCGCTCGCTTGTGGTGACGTGCACGTAGGTACGCGTAATAGCGAGCGATGTGATACAGTAAACTTGCGAAGTCTACCCTTTACGCGTCGGTTTAAACTAGGGGCTAGTTGAACGAGCAGGATATTGGGTTCTTGAGCACAACTGCGCTCTAGTGTAGCTGTGTCTACGACTATGCTAATACGGCTAGTATACTGCCAGTTTTAGACGGATAGCAGACCTAGCGTGGTCTTCATCTCATCGGACACCGGTACGCAGCGAGCGATGGATGAGATCGCGGCAATCGATGTGGGGTTTGACCTACTATACCGCATGCGTTTTATTGAATGCGTTAAGAGCAGCATTTCAAGCTAACTTATAAATATTGCAATATATAATTTGTAGGAGGATATTCAAAACTACAATATTTCAGCCCCAATCGCAGGTTCCGATGAAGCGCCATGGCCATGGCGACGACCGCGGAGGTGCGAAGAAGGCCAAGTCCGTGCAGTTCAATGCAAAGCCATCGGTCAAGTACATTGAAGATGACGAGGAAGAGACCAAGGAGTCGGATCGCCATGGCGACGACGACGAGGATGACGACGAAGTCGACCCTGACCACGTCGCGTACGAGAGCGAGGACAGCGACGCCGAGGACGGCAAGAAGGCTCGTCCGCCGCCGATCCAGCACAAGATCCAGGAAGGCGAAGAAGAGTCGACGACGCGCCATGACGCGTACGAAGACGACGGCGTGCGCATGATGCCCTTCAACCTCAAGGAAGACCGCGAGGACGGGCATTTCGACGACAGCGGCAACTTTGTGTGGGCCAAAGGCGACAAGGCCGTCCAAGAAGACGCATGGCTCGACGGCGTCTCGGCGCAGGACATGGAGATCGCCGAGATGGCGCGTCTCCAGCGCCAAGAGGCGGCCGACGACGAAGCCGAGACGTGGACCGAGCGCCGGGCCAAGAGCGTCTTCATGGAGGTGCTCAACGAAGGCGAGACTGTCCTCGCCGCGCTTCGACGACTCGGCAAGAAGCCCAAGCCCAAAACCGCCAAGCAAAAGAAGACCTTTGTCGACGCCCAGACGCCCGACATGAAGCGCGAGTTCAACCAGCTCACGGACGCGGCCGACTACATGATGCGCCAAGGCCACACGGAGATCTACCACAAGCCCAAGGAAGACATTGTCGACAAGCCGGCGCCCAAGCCGATTGTGTACTGGGAGTACCGGGCGCCGGACGGGCAGATCCAGGGGCCGTACCCCACTGCGACGATTCTCGCGTGGCGTGCGCAGGTAGAGAGAGATGCATCATGCGGCTGCTTGCCTTCTATTCTTCATACGGGCGGATAGGGCTACTTTCAAGGCGACTCGGCGGTGCAGATGCGACAGTGCCAGGCCACGCCAGCAGGTCCGGCACCACTCGCAGCCTCGGCAGCCCAGGATCTCATGGACGACTTTGACGACGACGACGAGGAAGAGTCCAAGACGTCGGAGGACGGGTGGCAGTCGAGTGATGCAATCCCCTTCCGGCAATTTGTATAACGCATCAGATCTTATTGCATATTGGATTCTCTCGGAAGGAAGATGCATACTAGTCCGACTTGGAATGCCCCCAGGACGACGCTGCGTCTGTCGGACCGCGATGGACCACGGCCGCGTCGTCTTCGGTCGCTGACGTCTTGCGTCGGTGCATCGTATCGTGCTCATCGTTGGCCAGTCGTCGGCGATCGTCGTCGTCTTCTTCGTCGCTCATCGACATGAGGCGGCGGCGACTAGACAGAGATAGGTTGCACGGGGCATGAAGAGGACGAGGCCATACCTTCCGGGGTCGGCATGCGCCGCCGAGTCGTTCCGGGTCTGGAAGCGCGAGTACATGGCGTACATCTTGTTGCGCATTGCTAGCCCAACGTGGTGCGGTTAGCTTCTGCTGACATCGATGGCATGGCTGTACCAACGCTCATGGTCGAGAGCTTGCCAGAGACTGCAGTCAGCGTCTCGTTGGCGACCTCCATGGCCGACTTTTCGTTCGAGAGGCGGCGCGTGGGCGAGGCCCGTGCGTGGTGCGGCGGCGTTCCTATGTATCGCCAAGATGAGCGCAGGCGACGGCGCGGCAGCGAGTACCCAAGTAGGCGCTGAACTCCCTGTCGGCCATGAGCTCGTTGCGGAAAAAGTCTTCGTTCTGGAGCATCTCAGCCATCATGCGATCCTGCGCCTCCTGCTCCATCGCCGATGTGTAGCCTGGCAGGCGCAAGAAGTCGTCGGGCAGCGCGACGCGGGCGCGGGCGGCGGATAGCGGCTCGACCGGCGCCGGCTCGCCGTTCATATCGGCTTGCATCCCGAGGAGCGTGTCGATGGTGCTCTCGAGCTGGCCGCGGTTCATCTCGAGCACGCATGAGATCGTCTCGCGGTCGAACGTGTCGAACATGGCGCAGAGCGTCCCCATCGCCTCGTCGTACGTCACGGCCATCCTGATCCTGCTGC